CGCAGAATACTTGCAATTCTTTCAACTCGTTTTTAAAATTTTATGATTCCACTTGGCTAAAGTCTCCTCTTAGCTCTTGCCAAACAAACATACTTTGGCAGAGTTATCAGATTAGGCAGAGTTATCAGATTAAGCAGAGAATGTGACCAGCAATAACTAAAAAGGATTTAAAAAAGATATTTGGAAAGGCTGGACCCAGAGGGCCATCTGCCTTCTACAAAATGCAATTACAGCCATAACTACATCACAAATCAATTTTGCTGAAGACTGTTCCTAAACAATGACAGTGTTGATAAATTTAGAAGTAGGGCCATCAGTCTAAGGTATGAGAGCAATTCATACTAGATCTTGAAAAATTTGTTACCAAATCTAGTCTTAAAGGTTTGCTACAATGTCCACAACAACTTCTACATTAAGAGGTCATGAATGATGGAATCTGTAAATGCAGCATTCAGTTTGAAACAATGCCAACGCTCCTTCGCACGTACATTTGCCACAAACTCCTGGAGGAGTGTGGAAGCTGGCCTCCAGCCCACCAACTATAGTCCAGGTTTGAGACACCATTTGGGAGTTACCCTACCCAGCCGCTATTAACAGCTTTCCCTGGCTACCCCTGGTTCGACACTTTCCCTTCATTCGAATGGAACCGAACGCTAGCTCCATGATGGCCGTTTGAATGAACCAAACCCACAAAGTCCTCAGCTGTACTTAGCCGCGACCGCTATTGAACTAATTTCGGCATGAGGACTTCGTGGGTTCCCAGTCACCTCAGTGGAACTTAGCTGCAAATGTTATGGAATTGCTTTTGGCATGAGGAGACCATGTGGTTTCCAGACAATTTGGTCTGGGGTTTTGAAATACTTTGCGACCGGCCAGGAGAGTGCTTTTTGGAGGGAAGGTGCATGAGACTAAGGGGAACAAACGCTCCCTGAGAGCAAAGTGGAACACTATTACGGTTGCAAGAGCTCCCAAAAGTTGAAGGGCAAAAGCACCAAAAACCCTGAAACCATTTTGGGCATAGGACCACGTGTGCGGCCAGTCAAAACTTTAACATGGTGGTATTTCCCCTACACTGCATGGATCTGAGCGCTATTTGAAGAACTTGGGCACTCAGAACAGGGCTATTTGGGGGATGTATTATTTGTGGGGTTATTTATGTTTTTATTTGGGGTATATTTATGTGGTTATAGTTTTTGTTGTGCTCTCTGTTCCTGGGAGATAGATTATTAGTATTTAACGCAATTATCTCACAGGCCCAGATATTCCTGGGAGGGGCTTATGTTGAATACAATGAATACCCCCTGCTGGGGTCTGTGCATAAAAGGCCTAGTCCAGTGTTGTCTAGTTACTAGGAGGGCAAGGAGCTAATTGCTGCTCAGCACCTTGTTCCAGCTCATGGAGGATTTGATGTTGACTTTGGAGGAGGCATGGACAGGTCCAGTTAATGGAATTTCATATCTTTTCTCAGGTTTTTTTCTTTTATATTTAAATCAGGAGGGAGGTTGAGAAAAAAAAAAAAAAGACTACACCTAGGGACGAGTAACAAATACCCAATAGGGCATCATAAACCCAAAAGGAAAATTTTAAAAGGTTGAAGTAACCCAGTATATAGCAAACCTGCTTACAAGAAACACTCAAGTACCATAACCCCTAGAGCCCACTGTCATGTCTATGGTACCAGGAGTAACCTGGCAGTTTCCCTAGTTAGTCAAACTGTTTAAGGGCATTTTGACAGCTTAACGGTTTAATATCTGCATATATTTTGATGTAACCAATCTTATTATCCTATTTAATTTAACCACTTAACCCTGAGAAGTGTTAAAAATGTATAATAGGTCCACCTTTAATTTAATTTGTTGCAGATATATTAACAGTTCTTATTTTTGTTTAGATGTGTATATACAACTGAAGCCCATGATTATACTTACCTGAATATTCTGGTGGAAAGTCCCCACATATTAGAGACTGATATCCACATTATTCTGGTAATTAACATACCAAACCATCTCACCTAACTTGCATCTTAACAGTGCGATAATTTGCACTACTTAATATGGTACCCTGATATTTAGATATCCCCTTACATTGGCAAATAAATTAATAAAGCCAGATATTGAAAGGATACTACTATTGTGGTTTCCATTTACAAGTCAGAGGTTTAGCCAACAGGCTTTGATAATAAACACCTGCTCTCTTTATTATTTGGTTAAGTGCATATTTAACATTGTTAACTATTCCTCCAGCTAAACGTTCAAAAACTATTTTGATTGACAGCGTTTTGAATTTTTGGTTTCCCGCTTCAGCCAATACCTTCTAGGGGTGTGGTACAATCCTGCTGTAAACTAGCTGTGGGATTCGAATTGGAAGGTTTTAGGAAAGAGGGGTCCACTTCCCATAGAAAGTTCAAAGACTTTTTTTTTTTTGAAAAATCAGATGATGAAAACAAATATTCTGGAAATTAAAAAGGTAAGAGTTAAAAAATAAAATAAAAAAATAGATAACGTTCATATAAAGTGCACTTCGTGGTCTTCCTTCTTTGCTATAGTCGGCAAGAGATTCCTCCAGATATTCAGAAATGGTGACTAATCACTTCAGATAAGTGAATTATTCAACTTGTACTGGGATACAAAATGGTAAAACAATAGTTCTACAGATTGAATGAAAAGAATTGCTGGTAACCAGGGGTGAACCAGCCTATGGGTGTGTCTAGAGGATCCCAAAGGGGGTAACCCTTACATGTGTTTGAAGAAAAAATATATATACAGGAGGACCTAGGTGGAGAGGAGGATAAACCCCGTCCTCACTCAAGGTCAACCTAAAAAGGAATCCCCATCCTAGTTTTAATGCTTGAGAAAATATAATATAATAAAACTTAACCTTTATTAATAGTAGATAAAACTATGTAAATACATAGAACAAAAAAAGAAAAATAATGTGTGGAGTGCCACCACAATAACTGTGAGTATGGACAGTAAAAATAATAATAATAATGGTAATAATACGTAGCGATGTCCTTTAGAATCACTTCTAGATAGAAATCTAGCAAGAGACCAGGAGCCAAATTGGATAAATAATGGGAAGGGGAAGGAGAGAGGAAATAGAACAATACTGTGTGATGCTAGTAGAGACAACAAAGTGATACTAGATGGCAAGTAATAACAGAGTATCAAGTGCAATAAAAGCTAAATAGCACTATATGCCAGTAAAGTCTTATGATGTGAAGGAAATGGATAGTGTGGCTAAGAAAAGCACTGTAATATGGAGGGAAGATAAGAAAAGAGAGAGATCCACTACATGGATCAAATAAACCAAACGGCTACCCTCCTCCAGATTCCCCCAAAAGACCCCTCCGCTGGTAGCTGGAACCCAGATAGCGATCACTAGTAGTAGCCTGCCGTGGCAGACTACAAGCTATGCTGCCTCTCAAATTCCCCCCAATCCCTTGTATGCGGCAAAACTGCTGAAACCAAAGTGCTCGTGCTGGCTCTAAGCTAAACTCTCTCGTGGCAAACTCCAGACTAAACTACCTAACGCGCGTTTCAGCGCTTCCAATGCGCCTTCGTCAGAGGTAAAGCAGCAGTCTGTCCCCCGCCCGGCCCTTAAATAGGTATGCCGGGTCCGTTCAGATTGTGTAGGCGTGTCAAACTTATTTGATCCATGTAGTGGATCTCTCTCTTTTCTTATCTTCCCTCCATATTACAGTGCTTTTCTTAGCCACACTATCCATTTCCTTCACATCATAAGACTTTACTGGCATATAGTGCTATTTAGCTTTTATTGCACTTGATACTCTGTTATTACTTGCCATCTAGTATCACTTTGTTGTCTCTACTAGCATCACACAGTATTGTTCTATTTCCTCTCTCCTTCCCCTTCCCATTATTTATCCAATTTGGCTCCTGGTCTCTTGCTAGATTTCTATCTAGAAGTGATTCTAAAGGACATCGCTACGTATTATTACCATTATTATTATTATTTTTACTGTCCATACTCACAGTTATTGTGGTGGCACTCCACACATTATTTTTCTTTTTTTGTTCTATGTATTTACATAGTTTTATCTACTATAAATAAAGGTTAAGTTTTATTATATTATATTTTCTCAAGCATTAAAACTAGGATGGGGATTCCTTTTTAGGTTGACCTTGAGTGAGGACGGGGTTTATCCTCCTCTCCACCTAGGTCCTCCTGTATATATATTTTTTCTTCAAACACATGTAAGGGTTACCCCCTTTGGGATCCTCTAGACACACCCATAGGCTGGTTCACCCCTGGTTACCAGCAATTCTTTTCATTCAATTTTAGTGTTTCTAATAGGTTTCAATACCTTACAAGTGTGTCTAACTCCTTATCTCTGTGTAAAACTCAACAGTATGGCCAATTTCTTGAATCAATTAAAAGATCCCAACCAATGGTGCCTAGACGCTGAAAAAGTGTTCTCTGATAAAGAATGTCCATTCATGTCTAGTGATATGAACATTGAGTCTAAATTTAGGCACCTATCCAATATCTGTAAAGAGAGAGTTTAGCTTAGAGCCAGCACGAGCACTTTGGTTTCAGCAGTTTTGCCGCATACAAGGGATTGGGGGGAATTTGAGAGGCAGCATAGCTTGTAGTCTGCCACGGCAGGCTACTACTAGTGATCGCTATCTGGGTTCCAGCTACCAGCGGAGGGGTCTTTTGGGGGAATCTGGAGGAGGGTAGCCGTTTGGTTTATTTGATCCATGTAGTGGATCTCTCTCTTTTCTTATCTTCCCTCCATATTACAGTGCTTTTCTTAGCCACACTATCCATTTCCTTCACATCATAAGACTTTACTGGCATATAGTGCTATTTAGCTTTTATTGCACTTGATACTCTGTTATTACTTGCCATCTAGTATATATAAGACCCTGTTTGCAATTTAACGCTGATCAGCTGAACCAAAAAAAAACAAAAAACAAAAACAGAAAAATGTGAAAAAAATGTGAAGAAAAAAAAAAATTTGAAAAATTATTTTGGTAGATTCACATCTCCTTCAAAGATATTTCAATGTTTCATTAGGAGTTTCTTTAAAAATGAAACATTGGAATATCTTTGAAGGAGATGTGAATCTACCAAAGGAATTAAGGAATCCCCCTATATTCTCTTACCAAAGAGCCCAGAATATTATGGACAAACTGGTACAATCCAATACTGGTAGTGGCAAAAAGCAAAGATTGTTTTTTTCTGAACCTACGAAGGGTACTTTTCCTTGCCTTGGTTGTACACACTGTAACAGCATAATCAGGGGTTCGCATTTCACACATCTACACTCAGGCAAATTGTATAAAATAAACGACTACTATACGTGCAACTCAGATTATGTGCTTTACATTTTGAAATGTCCTTGTGGATTCCTCTATGTGGCAGAAAGAGCACAATGGGGAACATAAGAGCTTTACAGAGGGATGTATGTAATAATCCAGTCCCTAGACATTTTAAACAACAAGGGCATAATGTGAATCAATTGAGATTCCAAGTAATTGATAGCCTCAAACCCTTACAGAGGGGTGGCGACAGGCAAAAACTGTTACTTCAGAAGGAAACAAAATGGATTGGTATTTTGGAAACATTGCACCCCCAGGGTTTGAATGAAGATTATGACTTGAAGCACTTCCTATAGGAAGCAATCTTAAATTGAATCCAATGTATTATAGTACTGGTTTTGTATAGGAGTGTTTTCAACTTATTGTAATATGCAATTCCATTTTTTCAGCACATGATTTTGACCAAGGTTGGTCTGTTTGTCTCTTGAACCCCATATATGCCTCTTACCATTTTGGTCCGCTACCCGACTGGAGACAGGGTCCACAATAGAGGATACCACGCACACTTTCACACGCAACACCACTGGTAAGTATGCTTTTAATTAAACACCCACAAGAGTTTAATGTGAAAGGCACCCCTGATATTTATGGTACCTTGTAGTGAGTAACTTATGACAATCAAGAAACATGTCATCATACAGTGCATTTGAGTTCTTCTTAGGCTGGACATAGATACAAGGATTATATGCACATAAGGTCTGTAAGATTCTGTTATGGTCTGTATAAAACATTAGGCACAGTATTTTTAGAGTGAGAATTCTTTTGTTATTTTCCTTTGAAATTATATTTTTTACAAAAATTCCTTTTCTTTCCCTAAGAGGTTTTTCCAAAACATTTTTTTTTTCCCATTTAAGGATTTATTTATTAGACTTTTTTTAAACCACATCCGAGTCTCTCGTGTGGTATATTTGAGAATATTCTGATCTGTAAAGAAAATACATATATACATTTATTGCGATGCATCTGAGAAAGTGAGAGAGAAATGTCGTTAAGAGACACAGCAATGACTGAAGTTTGCTCAAACCCAGAAATTGAAAAAGCATGCATGCGCACAAGTATGCACTTTGTATGACGTCTAAAGGGCGCGACCCGTGGAAAAAGGAAATAAATAGCCGTCTTGATTTTTTTTTATTCACCAGGGCCATCGAAGGGACGGATGCAGTCCCGAGCGACCAGCCCAGGATTCCCCTTGATATAACCAGGAACATAAGTTTGGATTATAATATCTGCATGCACTAGAGCAACTTAAGCCATATCTATTGGGACCAACCCTGACATCACAGCATAGCAAAACATACTTCAGGAGTGGTGAGATCAATCCAAAACACAACTGTCCATATAACAAATACTTTGGAACAACTTGAGTGTGTACACAGTGGGACTGTATATACTTTTTAATTTTTCATGTTTTTTTTCCCCTTGTTCATTTTTATTTTCTTTACATTTTTTTCACAAATTTTCTTCTGTTTTTTCCTTTTTTCAGTTCAGATGATCAGCGTTAATTGCAAACAGTGTCTACCACACATATAGAGCCGTATGGCAATACTGGTTTAAATACTGGTTATTATAGAGGTATATCAACTGGGAACAATTTTACTCCTTTGTCTATTAGGGTATATCACCTAAGGTCTTGTAATGTTTACATGTAACTTAATGTGATAATTAGTTTTTTTGTTACATTGTCACTATACCTAAGAGCTACTTAACTTTAAATAGACAGCACAATAAAGATACATTTTATATCTGTATTTGAGTGCAGTATCATATGTATTTAACGCTTCCAGCTAATCACTAGCTCTTGTAAGAGCTCTGCTATTCCTTCTCTACTGGTTCTGCTGATGGGACATCTGGAGAATACTGCAGCACAGCTTCTCTCAAGGGAGAAGGACGTCTCCAACGGCATACACCCCTCTGATACCCAGGGTGGCCGTTACATTGACAATACAAAATAATAAACAAATTATTTAAATTTGCATAAAAGTACAATTTGCCTTCTTAGCACTAGATGCAGAGAAGGGATTTGACAGGGTGAGCTGGAAATACCTGATGCCATGTTGGTTTAGTGTGTTTTTGTTTTTTTAAACAAAATAAAATGGCCCTCTAAACACCACCACAGGCCAGATTGTTTGCCCTGGAATGGTTTGAGATCAAAAATGGTACCAGACAAGGCTGCCCATTGGCTCCTCTGTTGTATATTTTAAAGGGGCACTATAGCCAACAGAACAACTACAGCTTAATGTGGTTATTATTATGATGGTTATTTATATAGTGTCAAATTCTGCAGCGCTTTACAATGGGTGGACGAACAGACATGTAGTTGTAACCAGACAAGTTGGACACACAGGGACAGAGGGGTTGAGGGCCCTGCTCAATGAGCTTACATGCTAGAGGGAGTGGGGTAAAATGACACAAAACGGTAAAGGATACTATTAGACTAGTGACAGTTGCAGAAGAGGAATCAGTCAGGAGTTATTAACAGTTTAATTGCTACGCTTTTATGAAGAAGTGGGTTTTTAATGATTTTTTGGAAGGAGTGGAGACTGGGTAAGCATCTAACGGAGGAGGGAAGCGAGTTCCACAGGAACGGTGCAGCCCTCGAGAAATCTTGAAGGCGAGCATTAGGGGTGGGAATACAGACAGAAGATAGACGTAAGTCTTCAGCAGATCGTAAGGGCCTAGACGGGACATACTTGTGTATAAGGGAGAATAGATAGGTGGGAGCAGCATTATGTAACGATTTGAAAGCAAGAACCAGAATTTTAAATTGAGCTCTATATTTTATAGGAAGCCAATGTAGGGACTGACAGAAGGGTGAGGCATGGGAGGTGCGGGCAGACAGGAAGATAAGCCTCGCTGCAGCATTAATTATGGACTGTAACGGCGCAAGTTGGGAGCACTTAAGACCACTGAGAAGCGGATTACAGTAGTCAAGGCGAGAAAGGACAGTGGAATGGACCAACACCTTAGTTCCATCTGGCGTTAAGTAGGGGCGGATGCGCGCAATGTTTTTCAGATGTAAATGACAAGATTTGGTGATAGACTGAACATGAGGCTTGAAGGAGAGGTTGGAGTCAAAGAGAACACCTAGGCAGTGAGCCTGCGTGGTGGAGCTGATGGTAGCACCGTTGACTTGAAGGAAGACAAACACAGGAGTAACAACACTTGAGGGAGGAAAGACCAGAATTTCAGTTTTGGTCAAGTTTAGTTTAAGGAAGTGGGCAGCCATCCAGTTAGAAATAGCAGAGAGGCAGTCAGAGACACCAGTCAAGAGAGACGGGGAGAGATCAGGAGAGGACAGGGAGATTTGCGTGTCATCTGCATAGAAAGGATATTGGAAGCCAAAGGAGCTAATGAGTTTACCAAGGGAGGCAGTATAGATGGAGAACAGTAGGGGACCAAGGACTGAACCTTGACACCAACAGAGAGGAGTTGGGGAGAAGAATGTATGTCCCTGCAGCCTTTTTGCGGTCAACACTGCCTTTCAGAGAAAAGACAGTGTTTACATTGCTGCCTAGTAAAACCTCTAGTGGCAGTCATGCAGACGGCCACTAGAGGTGCTTCCTGTGTCAGTGCTACACAACATGTAGCATTAACATTCAGAGTCTCCATGCTCTGCATGGAGGCAGTGAGCTTTCCCTAAAGAGATGCATTGAGTTAAGGCATTTTGCCATGCCAATGTTTTCCTGTGTGAAAGCATTTGAGTTTGAATATATGTGTTGTGGGTCAGGAATATACCCCTGCTAGCTTTAATTAGACAGAATAATAAGATCAACGGTCTCAACATTTTCTCTGAACAGAATATTATTATTACTCCTTTATGCAGATAGCATCCTTCTTACACTGCTAAGACGATAGAGTCTATTTCCAAAGTATTGAAACGGACCTGAGAATTTGGTACATTCTCAGGATATAACATTGAATATGGGCAAAACCCAAATATTAAGATTACCTGGGAAAATTAAAGGAGATTTAGGACTGGGATTGGAAAAGAGATAGGTTATCTTAGATATAGATTTTCTTGGTATTAAAAGATGGAACCAATATGAATAGAATAATCAAAGATTATAATAATGTATTACTTTCATTTAAAGAAAGTTTTCAAAAATAGTAGGGTCTGGAAATTTCATGGTTAGGATGGATAAACACAATTAATGCTTTTGTTTCACCTAAATTAATGTATTTGTTGAGATCAATTTCTCTTGGAGTTCCTTTAAGCTTTCTTTCTCAGTATTTATGAACTTTATTTGGGGAAATGGGAGTACTTAGAATATCGTATTATAAATTAACCAGAAGAGGTGAGAATTGTGGAATAAATATCCCCAATATCAAATAGTTACATATCATCATGTTTACTCACTTCCTGAAGTGAGATTGTCATGAAAAAGAAAAAACGAGAAAACTTGTCCAAAAATGTCTTTATTCAAATTGGCGTATATACATACACTGCAGTGTAAGACCTCCTAAAGATATATTTCAAAGTTATGAGACAGTTTAAGAATAAACTTAAAATTTCTAATAAACTATTTCTCTCTACCCAGATTGAAGATCTTCAGTGTAGCGGAGATCCAGTATTCCACAGGTTATCTGCACTTAAGATCCCAGTAAGGCTCAGGAACAAGTAATTATAACTCCATACAGCAAGGTTTCCAGCAGGTAAAATAATCCAGCAATATCCCAACAGCAATCCCAATAACTGGACGACACACAGTATCAGGAGCAGTACTAAAGATTTATTCAGACAGTGGCCT